TACAGCTTGTACTGTGTAAGCCATCCCATTTAAGTACTTACCATTCAAAGATCTAGGTAACATTTTAATGACATTCAATCAGTATTTTAGCTTTGTATGTGGAATCTCAAAACTAAGATCAATTTCATAGCAGCTCTCAAATATATTCATTTTATAGTCTTTTTTTACAAAAACAGCAACCTATGTTGCTATTTTTACAAAAAAACCCAAAAATACAAAAAAAGATGTTTTATAGTATTTTTTTTGCAAAATCCCCGGCAATTACTTTGTCTGTTGCCGAATTCTTAGCCTATGTTTGGAAGCTTAGGGTAGGGGCGTACAAGCCTTAACCCCCTTGTGTTTTTTGGAATTGCTATATTCTCAACTAAGTCTATTATTTCCAAGAAGTTTATAAAAACGATTCCTTGTTGGTGCAGCATGGTGTAAATTGTTATAATCTATTACTTCGTGCTATTTATTTTCTATTTGTTTCATTGTTCTCTTTGCTGCTGTGTTATGCCAATAAAGGTCTATGTATGTGTGTATGTACAAAAACAGCAATCCTATGTAATCAGAATGTCCCCTACTAAAATCAACAGGATTTACTTCTAAGCAACCAAAGTAAACCTTTACAGAAACATAACACACGCAATAAAATGTTGTGAAAACTTTAGAAACTCACAGTGTTCACTGGCACAGCCCTCTCTAAAAAGAACAGTTCCTTTGAATGAAAGCAACACTGCATTCATGGTATTTTAAGTTATATAATATTTAATATTTCTTTAAAACAGATTTTGAAGGCCTGAGAAACTTCCAAAACCATTTAATGCTATGAGCATTATGTAATATTTATAAAAAGTATAATTCCATTAAAAGAACCTAAATGACTGGTGTATGTTGTTAAAATACTGGTATAAACTGTTCTCGTTAATATCCTGTAACTGTCACACATTCCAAAATAGTCTAATGTAAATGGAATTTACTGAAAGATAGCTGTGTTATCATTCTACTTCATATGCTTCCATACCACAAAACTGCATGGGCAAACTCAGCCCGAACTGTAAAACAAGAATATGCTGGATACTAAACTGTCCTCTCATTGAAACCAGTGAATGATCTCTATACAAAGGATAAAACAATCAACTTTCTTTCCTCCTACTGAATATTCTTTGTCTGCAGGACTGCGTCTAACTAGATTTTGACCTAGATGCCCTAAGCAGGGAAGTTCACAATTAGTGCATATGCCCTAAGCAGGGAATATATGCCCTAAGCAGGGAAGTTCACAATAAGCAAAAGCATGTTTTAGCTTCTCCTCCCTAAGCAGGGAAGTTCACAATTAGTGCAACGCTAAGCAAAAGCATGTTTTAGCTTCTCCCAATATTCCAAGATGCCCTGACATAGATAGCCTCAGGTTTGCCCAATCTTAATTCTTTTTTCTTCTAATGTTATTTATGCAGATATATATTCAGAGTTGAACATTATTTTGGATGTCTTTTAAAGAGTATTTTTACTAATCTTGTATCTATACAAATGTGAAGTATGAATTTTTGGGTCAAGTCTTATCTTTGACAGGTGTCCTGTTTGTTTGCTTGCACTTAAAGGCTGGCAATATTTTACCTTCATCAAGGTTATATAGTCCTTATCATTTGGCTGCCTCCAGGAGGATATGGGCCAGATTTACTGAGGCTCCAAAAAAGTGGCATTGTGAATAGGAAAGGGTACATTTCCCCTGACCCAGATGGCCCAGACTAGCCTGATCTCATAAGATCTCAAAAGCTAAGCAGGGTCAGCACTGGTTAGTATTTGGATGGGAGACCAGAGTTGCTACACAGAGGCAGGCAGGGGCAAAGCACCTCTGAACATCTCTTGCCTTGAAAACCCCACAGTGAAAAGATTTCAGATTGGGAAAATGGCACAGGAGAAAAGGTTAACTCTCACTCTCCTGTGGTTCTGTGCCTGTGGTTCTGATCCAAATTTAACCTCTGTATTGCTTCTATTAAAAATACCTTGGGAACTCCTAACATACAACTCCTAGCAACTTTCTCTAGTTCAACCCTCAAAAGCCTCTTTATTTTGTTGATTAAAAATCATTCTCATGAGTCTAAAATCTGTATAGCTGCATTTATATAATTCATTGTAAAATATGGCCCATAGGGAAAAATCTGGTAGCTTTCTCAGAATTGATGATATCTTGTGTTTAACTTTTAATAATAAAAATCTCTTTGCAGTACTTGTAGTTGGAATAGATCTTGAAAATATGGTTGTGGCTTTAAAAGGTAGAGGAAGCCAAAATGAAATATTCTCAACCATCTGAGTATAGAATGTAGTTTTCCCCAGTGGTCCTCAGTTCTCCACCATATGAAGTAAAAAAAAGAAGCAGCTTAAATCTACTTCACTTTTATTGTTGTTATAAGTGCACTGCAATATATGAGTAACTGACTGCACAAAAGTATTGCCAGTGTTATAAAGAAGATAATAGAAAACTTTATGGATACTCCAGTGTGAAACTACTGATTTGGAATTCATTGCAAATTTGATGCTATCAGGCTTGAGCTCAGTAGGAATGCCTAGTTCAGTACAGAAAGTAAATGTTCCTCTGTAGACTGTAATGTGCACCATTCATATTGTTTTGCCAATTCATTGCTAGCTGGGTATGGATATTTTCTGCTTTCAGTTGCCTGTCATTTTTTATTTGTATTCTGCATAGTAATCTCTTTCATTGCTTTGGGCCTCAATTTGCAACAGCATAACTTAGGGTATATATGCCTTTCTGATGAGGTTACAGCTTCATGCATCTGATATAGGTCCTTTCCGCATTTGTCTGCCACTCCGGATTTTCTCAGTGTTCGAGTCAAGGCCTTTTAAGTCCACAGCAAAACAGCATCCAAATAACCCGGGGCAACAGCAGGCTGAAACCGGGCTGACCACTGAAGGGAGGTGATGTAATGTAGAATGTGGGGGGTGGGGGGGGATGGAATAAAAAGAAGGTTGAACTCAATTTAAGTGCAGAAAGGGGGGAAAAACTGGATTAAAAAGAAGGTTGAATTTGATTTTAGTGCAGAATTGCTCAGAGGACACTGCGGTGAACATGGATTAAAGGGAGAGTGCAGAAAGGGCCACAGTAAGCTCAGGCCCATGAAAACTTATATCACAATATGTATAAGTGCAAGTAGATTATTATTATTTTCTGAAATAGGTTGAAATGGAATTCATGAATTATAGGTTCGTCCAATGGAATGAATGGTTTCCCAGAAATTGTTGATTGAATGCTACTGCTGAATACTATGATCTAAGTTAATCTTCTGAGTACCAATATATTTACTGTATAAATGTACTTCCGTCCCACTGCCATGTGTTTGTAATGAGGAAAAATTTTCTGTACATCTAGAATTGGAAAAATATGATTGTAACATTATACATGTTTTATTTATGAACAGGAAATAGCACATGGTGTTAAGTTTTTTATCTGTTGTACAAAAATCTAGAAGATACTTGAAAGTTCTTTATGGCCTTGGGTATATGTTAATATAATTTAACGGATTTACAAAACAACAACAACTAAGGAGTGAAAACGCAGTTAAACCATCTTATTCAAACGTCACTCCTCAACCCTACTTGGAAAAGTGTCATTTATTCAGCTATAAAAACTGTGAGGGTAAATATAAATGCACTCTTACTGTTCTTTTATTCCAACGAGGGGCCGTACATTCCTGCAGTTATTGATGCTTTTAATGCTAAGGTTATCCCATAGGTTTTGTTTGGAGCAGGCATTTGGATTAATGGGGTCTCTGAATCCATTGACTGCCCTCTTCAATTTTTACGCCAGATAGCAGGTGAACCAAGCAGTGTGGCAGGGAGTTCACTCCGATTAGTGTTTGTGCAGCACTCACTGGAGTCCAGGGCCTGGTTAGGTGCCTTCAGCTTAAGACTGAAGGCCCTCTTTTCAGTGCCCGATACCTGGGGTGGGAGGGCTTCCACATTTACTGAAGGAAGGTTTCTTTAGAAGTGTATAGGGGAAATACGTTGATAGTCAATTCGATTTTCTTTGTTTCTCTCCTGCTGTGGTTACGGATATTGGCTATTCTGAAGAGTAAAGCTGGTTAGGAAAAGGGTTGTTAAGTTTGACCGCACCAAGGCACAGGCCCATGCAAGGTGTGTGTGCTCTACTTTTGCAGTGGGGTTTCCCATATCTTTGGCCCTCCACCCCTGTATCTAAGCCTCCAGGTCATAGGTGCACTTTTATATTAAGCAGACTGAATGTCCTGCCAACTGCAGAGGTCAGTGGGTGCTTCACCAAAACTCCATGTTCTGATTGTTATTGCTGCTCTGCATCTGGGGTAACAGAGGCCATAAACCACCTCATCTTATTCTGTGATCAATGGATGCCCATTTTGAGTAAATATCAGCATGCCTGTCAAATTCACGTGAGCCCTTCTTTGCTGGCAGACACCAGTCCAGAAATAATGCATTCTGTTGCCAAATTCTTAGCAGTTATAGTTTCTTTATGTTCTTTCAAAGATGGGTTTTAATTTGCTATGCTGTCTACTGCTTCATATTTTATCATGTATCTATACTGACTGTTCAAGACCTTCAGTCAGAACAGCATAATAACAACAGAAAGGATATTGTTTAATTGTATTCCTTCAGAAAATTGTCTTTAGGGTTCATGAACTTTACAGTTTATCTGTGCATCTAATATTTCAAAATAGATAACGTGTGTGTGTGTGTGTATAGAACACACGGAGCTGCCATATACTTAATCAGACCCTTGGTCCATCAAAGTCAGTATTGTCTACTCAGATCAGCAGTGGCTCTCCATGGTTTCAGGCAGAGGTCTTTGTAATTGCTTCCTACCTGATCTTTTTAACTAGAGATGCTGGGGATTGAACTTGGGACCTTCTGCAGGCCAAGCAGATGCTCTGCTAGTGAGCCACAACCCCTCCATCATCATCATACTATTATATAATACTATATATTATAACTTTTTGGTTAACTATATATCTTTTTGGTTACTTCCATAGTCTTAATGTGAATCCTTCAAAAACGGAAGACCTCAGGAAAGCAGCGGTAAGTTAACCAATATACCAGTTCATTCTCTGGAATGTGTGAAATAGTTTATTTATTTGTACATTTGACATGATTAGTAAAAGGTTTAGCTTTAGATGGGGTTTCCCATGCACATATGACAATGTCCTTGCTGGATCAGCTCATCTAGCCCAGTGGTTTGTGTCTGACACTGGCTGGCCACCTTCTCCTGGAGTTGTTTGCAAGCAGGGCGTAAAGGTGTCTCCCCCCCCCATCTGGTAATCAGTGAGAGAGTGCTTCTGAACATGTAGGATCTGTTTAGCTAAGTGCTGTTGACATACCTTTGTAGCCAATCTTCCATGACTATTATATAATCATATTTATAGTCTCTAAATAAAAGTTCATCACCACACCTTTTGTTAGTGAGTTTCATACGTTAATTATGCAATGGTTGGAGTAATGATAATTTTTTTTCCCAGTTGGTTTTTGAAACTGCTGCCTAACTAGGTCATTTGGTGACCTGTTGTTCTGTTATGTGAGAGGAAAATATCCATCATTCTTAATTTTATAAACCATTAATACTCTACCCTAGTTCTCCCCCCCGCCCAAATTAAAAGCCTCAAGATCTTTAGCATTTACTTGTGGAGAAGGTGCTCCAACTTCTTTGTCATGTTAATTTCCCTTTTCTGTCCTTTTCCCATTTTTATTATCCAAGTTTATATTTAAGATGAGCAACTAGAACTCACTATTGCTCCACTATAGATTTATATAATATGACTTATTATATCAGGTACTTCAATAATAATTTACTTAATTTGTTTGATAGGATTTATATATTCTAAGTAATAGGTTTATTGAAGAAGAAACTCAACAAGTCTTTCCCAATTCTAAATCCTATGAATCTTTAGAAGCTGCTTTAGGAGGGTTAAACCAAAATGCAAATACTAAGTTGAGTAAACATAGCAGAGTTTGTAGTGTAAATAAATGAACTCTCATGAACAATAAAAAAGGTTCTCAGAGGCTTGAACTGATTCTTTGGAATATTCGTTGACCATGAGAAGTCGAAAGAATAGCCACTGTGGTGAGAATTTCAGAGATGAACCCCTTCTCATTCAGATAGAAACATGGTGGTATTAGAGGCTGCTCTCTAAGCAGAGTAGATGTTTAAAAATGAATCTGGCATTTTGTTGCTTGAACTGATACTGCAGCTGCTGGTCTTGTGCACAGGCTGCTTAAGTCTATAGTCCTATGTCCACACACTTGGGAGTAAATCGCATTGGATTTTGTGGGGTGAAGTTATCACTCAACTCAAAAGATCAGGATGCACATCCCCTTCACTGGGATTTAAACATTGTTACAATGTGCTGGATGCAGCAAAAGTTAGAAATATTTTGAATTTATCTTTTATAGATTTAAAAAAATCTTTTTTATCTATCTAAGATTTTCTAATGCTCTAATCTAATGTTTTCAGTCAAATGAAAATGAATTCAACCAAGCAGTAACTTAATCTCTGAATTTAAAAGCAATATCAAAAGCTTCTTTAGTGTGGCAGTTTTGGAGTCTATTCTATTGAAAATTAGTTGTGACTTGGCAGATAACTGCACTTCATTGATTTTAATGGTATGTGTACATCTGCATATTTAGTCAAAGTTCCCACTGAAGTCAGTGGGGATTACTTCTGTGTTGCCTGCATAGAATTGCACCCTTTGTCTATAATATTTTTGTTAACTTTTTAACAAATAATACTCAAGATTTTTGCTGTTTAGCAAAAACTTGATGAGAATTTTTACCTACCAATTATTTAGAGGAATTGAGCTTGACAACAATAGTTTGTGGTCTTGTTCCAATTCCCATATCTTACGTGTAAATTTATGAAGTCCAGTTTATTTTATAAAAAATAACGTTAGACGGTAGAAAGTATTGTTTTTATATGCTAAACTTGAAATACAACTATTGTAAAAAATTCAAGTGTTGCAAAATTATTCTTAAATAGTTTGAAGTAATTTGTAGGGTGTTCTTCCAATGAATTGTTATTTCTTTTTTTCCTTTGGATGCAGTGTTTGGTAATTAAGTTTATATGCCTTGTGCTCTGGTGGTGCCAACACCTGTCTGTGAATGAACAGTGTTTAAACAGGAGCAGTAGCCAGTTGAAAGGGCAGTGAGAGCTCTTTAAAGCCTAATTAAGAGCTGAAAAGGAGATGACGCAAGTAGGACAAGAGATGTGAAAGTATCTAGGATGATATTCCCAGAGCAAAGTTCCTCATTAGAACAACAAACAGATGATCAAAGAATGCCATTTTATCTCTTCATTTCCCAGTAGTTGTGACTATCCATTTGTATCCAAACATCAAGGCTTTCCCTCCTGTTTTCCTATTAAAAATCTTTTTCTACTTTCTTTCCTGAAATGTGGGTATTACAGAAATATTCTTGGAAAGTGACAAGAAAATATTTGTTACAATTACATTTCCCCTCATTCCTTTAAAATATGTAGAAATGCATACCATGTTTGCTGAAGACAGAATTCATAGTGTTTTCAGTAACTTCCATATTTGCATACATACATGTTGATTGTAATTTAAAATGTGCATATGGTCTGAGCATAAGTGAACATCTTAAAGATATATTACTGAAGGACCATCTGTGATGCAGTATCTAATAATATGCAATGACTACTTTCAGCAATGTGTTCGTGTATATGAGCGTTATATTTGTAGACAAACACATTGTGATGGACTTCACTTTTAAAAGCTTAGAAGTGCTGTGTAAATGGATAGACTGTGAAAGGTTAATTCTTTACAGAACCAGAAAGCCTGAGTGACAGGCTGCTTCAAGCAATCTGATTGGTTAGCATTCACCGAGCAGAGCAAGTCTTGAGAGAGCTGCATGCTCAGGCCCGTAGCTACAGTGGATCCTCTCGGCGCCCAGCCCCATGACTTTCCATCCAGCCCAGGCCCTCCCCCCCAAATCCTTATTTTATTTTTTCATGCTGCGCACCATCACCTTCACTGAGCTGGTCTACTGGAGCTGAGCCTGCCTGCTGAGGTCCCACCCCCTGTCTTCACCCTATGAGCTTGCTGGCCAGCCCTACCATCCATTCTCACACCGCTGGACGGGATGCTGCCAGACAGGGCATGAGAAAGAAGCGAAGTTGTGGCAATGGGGTGGTCAATCCAGCACCCTCCTGCGTTGTGAATTGCGGCATAGTGATGGCTGCGTTGTGAATTGCGGCATAGTGATGGCTGCAGTGGTGGTGGCCCCATGCCCCCCAGGTTTTAAAATGCCCCCAACGTTAAAAAATCCTGGCTACACCTCTGTGCATGCTGAGGAGAGATTCAGTCAGATTTTTGCCTTGACTGAGTTGAATACTGACAGTCTGATTTCAGCCTTAGCTGAGAACAGTTTAACACAGACATGAGAACTGGGGGGAAATCGGCAAGGAAGTTTGGGAAGCAGGCAGAGACTCCCATTTGGGCCAAGGAAAGGGGATAGATCTTCTAGAGAGAGAAGAAAATTCCCCACCCAGTCAAACAGGGAGTTAACTCCGAAGAGTGCAGTGATCCCGGGTCTGGTGTGGTTAGAAACTTCCTGTAGAGACCTTAAGAGTCAGTTAAAAACTCAAGACAAGTACAGGTGTTTCAAGAGAAGGGGTTTGGGTATTGGAAGCAGTGTAGCAGCCTTCTGGAAACCAAAAGAAGAAGAAGAAGAGATTGGATTTATACCCCGCCCTTCACTACCCAAAGGTGTCTCAGAGCGGCTTACAAACTCCTTTCCCTTCCCCTCCCCACAACAGACACCCTGTGAGGTAGGTGGGGTTGAGAGAGATCTTGACAAACTGCTCTTTTTCAAGGACAGCTCTTATCAGAACTCTTATCAGAACTACTTATACGAGTTACAGAGTATGCAAAGAAAGTATACTGGAGTGTTTGGGGAAAACACAGGAACAAAAGCCTCTCAACATAAAGATTTAAGTCATTATAAAAAGCTTAAGAAACTCTCATTAGCCTGAAACATAGGAACTAAAGTCTGTGCAGGTACTGGTTTTACCTCAGAAATTTCAACCCCTGATTTCATCTGACCTTTCCCCTCTATGTTAAATAAAATATTTTGTTATTTTTGAATTTCAAAACACCTCCATTGTCATTTAAGTTGTTTAAGTTGAAGCAGGCTCCTGAACCAACAGCCAAAATATTGTACTGTGACAGGGTGAGACAGCCAAAGTTCTTCAGTAAAGAAGAAAACACATTACTAGGGTGGCTCAGTCAGTAAAGGGAAACGGAAGGAAAATCTTGCCTCTGAGGGCACAAAGTGGACAGGGCCATCATGCACATCAAACAATGCTGGGTATTTTTCCTGTGCTATGTAGTTCAGGTTGTATCTGAATTTAATGTAAAATCCTCCAGAAAGATATATCTGTGAAGTGTTTCATACTGCTATGGGAATTTTGGGATTGGATAATTAACAAAAACACAATTTAACTGAAATGATAGATTATATCTCATGAATGTAAACCATTGAAATACACTTTTGCATTCAATTGTTTCCAAGAGCTCAAATATTTAGATAGTTGACTGAGTGCTTAACTTGTAGCATTTATACTGGCTTGCTAGCTAGCCCTGTCTAATTAGCTTTATTCCAACTTTGCCACCTGCATGTTTTAATGATGTGAGGGGTGCCTAAGTCCAGACAGAGATTGCTATGAAAGGGAGTAGGGAGTGAAGCTGAATTCTTGCATATTTGAGGTGGCATGCTTCCTAAATCATCAGTGTATGTCCTCCTTAATGATAGCCTTTAGCTTTAAACAGGCATCGGTCTATGTCACCAAGCTTCCTAAAGCTTAAGGTTTGACTTAGAGGGCTGATGATAACCATTCAAATATTTTATGTCATAATTGCCTCAGGATTTCAGTTGTTGAGGGCTTCAGTAAAGGGGGTTCCTTCCTTCCTCCCTTCCTTCCTCCCTCCCTTCCTTCTCTAGTGAGCCTGTTTGAAGGTTGTTTTGTCAGTGCTACACCAGAAACTAATTACTTGCACATATTTTTATTA